ATAGGGTGGATTATCGATTCTTGTGTTCTGCATTAAACTATTTATAGTTTAAGGGCCTGGTTAGAAATGATGCCTTAGACTAGGAATAGCTAAGAGCTTGTTATAAAATGAATTGGCCTTAGATTAAGAATAATTTAAGAGCATGGTTGAGATATTGAATATCAAATGACTTGGAATAAAATATTGAGAATATCATGAATGTTTGAATCATATACTGTGTGCATGATATCAAATGGTTGATTGTGAATTGAGATTCAATTTATTTGGATGTTCGACGCTTTAGATATGCTTACTCAGCTTCATTCTGAGCGTGTAGTATGTTTTATTTGCTACACGCAGGTAGACAGAATGAGTGAATGGCATGTTCTTGGCAGCGGAAGGGGCGAGACAGTCGTGGTGGATTTATTGAGAAAATAAATGATTATGTTATTATGAATCCTGTTTAAAAATCGCTTCCGCATTAAACACTCCGTATTTACTACAATTATGTTTGAAATTTCATTTATGATGAATAAAGTTATTTGAAATGTTTTAAATTATACGATTACCAAGTTAATACTTTAGTTCGGAAAGGGTTGTAAACCTGGACGGATTAGGGTGTTACAGCCCATCCCCAGCCGTTCAGCCGCATAGGGCCCGATCTCCCCTGCCTGCACATATAACATACCGGTTAGACTCTCATCAAAGGAGAAGACTTTGACCGGTACAAAAGTAAGGCTTACCTCTTTTAGCCTTAGGCCTAGATTGACGAAGGCCTCTTCAATGGACTGGGAAGCCGGCTCAGGATCCGACCTCGCCCTCTTCTTGGCATAGGAAGGATGGGTGGTGGCCACCTTCTTTTGCTGGTGACCGACCTTCTCCTTGCCCTTCTCCTTCGACCGGTCATCCGCATGCTCATCCTCATCGTGAATTTCCACGGTCTCGCGGTTGACCGTGGAAGTTTTGGCTGCGGGAAGCTGGAAATCACCGGCATCCCTCTCTGGCTGGTCTTCGGGGATGGCAAACTCCTCAAATTCCATATCTGCGAGAACCAACAAGAAGGTGCTAAGTATGATAGAAGGTGCCGGTTAGATAAAAGACACGAAATAAACGAGAAATACCTGGGTGGGAGTTGCCCTCAGCCTCCGCAGTGTTGCCCGGGGAGGGTACCCCGCGCCTCGCTGCGTCATGGGCCGGGGAGGTACCCTCACCACCCGATTCGACCCTCCAGACCCAGCTCCCATAATTATACTTCCTCCCGGTGAACGGATCACCACGAAGAAGGATCTCAACACTTGCTTCAAGATCGGGGGAGGAGGCCGGTAAGGTGTACTCATGGTTGAGGAGGTGGTCGTTCCATTTTAGATCGGCTAAGGGGGTAACGAATGGGGGAAACTCGATAAAAACAAACTTTTCTTTCCACCCCTGGTTGCTTTGGGGATGTCAGAAATGAACTTCCTACCGGTGCGGCATTTAAAATACACGAAGCCCTCACAACCGGTCCCACCCGGTAGGACTTCGAAACAGAAGAGAAAAAGACGCAAAGAAGGGTCTATTTTGTGGTGGGAGCAAATATTTACAAAGGAGTGCAGGTAACGATGCGCGTTAGGGGTTATCTGACCGGGCAGAATCCTAAACGCGTGGCAAACTTCGGTAAGGAGGGGGCGCAGGGGAAAAACAGTGCCCGCGTCCAGGGAAACCGTATGAAACCCTATCCTATCCTCCCGGTGGGGTTCTATGATGTTAGGCCAGTCATGCTATACAGGAGGGTATAACCATCCGGGAGCCTCCTACAGATTTTATTCAGGGCAATTTTGGATATATGGGAGGAAATGTCGAGGACATAATATGTAGGGAGTGGAAAGTAACCGGCGGTTCGGAGCCGCTCTTCCCACTCCTCCCAGGACTCGGTGTCTGGGTCATAAGGACCCGGTTCGTTGTCAATCGGTTCCTCCCCCTCCGCAGCAACCTGACCGAGCATTTGATTCACAGGCTGCGGCTCAGGTATGGAAGGGTTGGGGATCTGACTAGGTACGGAATCCGAGGAGTAATACCCGATCGAAGAAGAGGAGGTGGAATCCTCAGATGAGGAATCATCTGAGGACGAGATCCTATGACTACCGGGGGAAGACATAACCAGGAAAGGGAACGAAGAATGAAAAGAAAAGCTAACGAAGAAGAGAGGAAGCTTACTTGACTCGGAGGGCTGGAAGGCGAAAGAAGGGAACTTGACCGGTGAGGGCTCAGAGACTCAAAATGCGAAAAGTGAGAAGTGAAGGAGGTTGGAGGCCTTTATATAGGCGAGAAGAATCCTAGCAGAGGCGACGTGGCCTCAGCAGAACGTGCCGCGTCAAGCGGCGCAATCATCACGCATGGGGAGACGGAAGGACGCGACCGTTGCTGGGCCAGCACGCGGCACGTGTCAAATTCGGTACTTTCAAAATTCAAATTTTGAAAATTTTAGGCGGGAAAAGCCAAGATTTTGAAATTTAAAGTCCTCTTTCAGAATTTTTACTTCCCGCTTATGACAAAATTGCATAACCGAGAAGTGGAGGGCTTATTGATGGGTGTATTTCACCCATGACCGGTCAAAGGTCAAAACCAGATAGTTGACCGGTCAAAGAGTTCGAACTTAGACGAGAGATGGATCATCACTGGAAGGATATAGGGTTGACCCAAAAAGTTGACCGGTATGTTTCGGATAGTATACCGGTCAAACTATGTCGGGGTCTAATTCATCCTTTGAAGTTAGCAGATCCAACCCTCAAGAACCAACCGGTGCAGTTTTTAATGATTGGAAAGTGTCGGCAAGAAGAGTCCAAAAGGACTTGGACTGTAGTGGGTGGCATTGCTGGGGACTCAGTGGAGATGCTGGAGGAATATTTCCAAGCCAGAACGCGACAAGGGAAGAAATTCCCCTCGCAAGATGACAAGGCAGCTCAGGGACAGTCATCTCGCACCACATCAGCAACGTGCCCCCACGTGGGCGCACGTGGTCTTGTTCCCCTTAGCCTAGTATAAATACTCATGTAAACCTCCGAAAGAGGGATCCGGATTCACTCTCTCTAAACTCCCTTGTAAAAGCACCCGTGCATTCTCCGTTATAATATAAATTGGGCTACAGGTGTTCCACCTAAAGTCCTACCGGTCAATCTGCGTGTTTTTACCTTTCTTAATAGTGATGGTGTAAATTACTTGACCGGTCAATCTGCGTGTTTTTACCTTTCTTACTTTGCCAAGTCAAGCGAACTATTCTAGACCCGGTCTAGTATAGTTTGACCGGTCAAGTAATTTACACCATCACTATTTAAAGTATTTTAAGGCTCTAAGAGTGCTATTTTGGTTGGTTTTTCTCCCTTTTTATTTTGCATTGAAATTTCAGAGTTGGAAGAAACTGGAAGGAGTTTGAAAATTTTAAAAGAATTTTAAGTGTTAAGAAGTCAGTTAATTAAATGATCACCCAGATAAATATATAAGAAAACTCTAACTTTAGATTAAGAAAGAATTTATCATTGTTCGTGTTTAAATGGTATAGTGGTATGTTATAAATTTGAATATTTAATGTTATTTTAAATTTATCATATATAAATATCTTTTTAAGTCACTGAAAAAAATAAAAGTAATTAAAAAATTTGGAAGGAATTGGAAAAAATCAAAAGAAGTTAAAAATAGTTAAATATTAATTTTTTCAATTCAAAAAAACAAATCTAAATGGTAAATTAAAAATAAAAACTTTAAAAGGGAGGAAGTACAAAAAAGGAGTCACCGTAAATTTTAATTACTTAAAGATCTGGATTGGCACATGAATGAATCCCTTAAAAAGATCAATAATTTAAATACCATGTATGGATATTACAAAAGATAAGATTAGTTTAAATACTATACCATCTTGGACTCTAATCATTTGGAATTAACAATTCAATAAAAATAAATAAAATAAAAGAAATCAGAATATCATCGGAATTGTAGTTGTTATTGATTTCTTTTAGCCTTATCCAATTTAATCTCTTTCTTTCTTAGGGATAAAGTTATTATTACTCCGTTATTATCCAATTAATTTTTTCTTGAGGAAAATTATCTAATTAAATTAAGATCTGTAAATCATCAGCTATAAATACCATAAGCATCTGTCCAATGGTTTATATCTCGTTTTTGCTTGCGAAAAAAAAAACCATTAATCTTTGATAGCCATGGATCTCGATCTTTCCCCACAGTTGGCGAAGAAGGTGTACGGCGGAGATGGCGGCGCTTACTACGCGTGGTCACCGGAGGAGCTCCCAATGCTCCAACAAGGCAACATCGGCGCCGCCAAGCTTGCTCTGGAACAGTATGGCTTTGCTCTTCCTCGTTACTCTGATTCCGCCAAGGTCGCATATGTTCTTCAAGGTAAAATCTGTTCCTGCTAAATCGTTGTCTTCTCTGATCTCATTTGTCGTATACGATTTAAAACATTGATCTCTATCTCATGATTGTTTGTGGATATAAATTGGGTTTAATCCCTAAACCCTATTTTTTGTGGATCGGATATAACCAAATTGTATTGATCATCCATCAGATTTTTTGTGTGTGTTTTATGATGGGAATTTTACTGGACAAATGATTGTTACTTCATACTTTATCCGCCTGAAAATCTGAATTTTGTTGTTTACTTTTCCTTTTTGATGCTTCTGGAGTAAATTGTCAACAAATTTATTGTGATTTATTAAAAAACCCCTTAATGGCATATAATTTCACATGTTTTTTTTTGTTATTTTACCTTTAAATTTGAATTGTTTCGCAAAACGTTCGAACTTAATCAAGACCAAAGTAGTGTAAAATAGGGTTTTCTTCTTATGATCCAACGAAGTTGTGGAATTTTGATCAGGTTGTGGCGTTGCTGGAATTGTCCTTCCTGAGAAAGAAGAGAAGGTTATCTCCATTAAGAAGGGAGATGCCATTGCTCTTCCATTTGGTGTCGTTACGTGGTGGTATAACAAGGCAGAGACAGAGCTTGTTGTGCTCTTCCTCGGTGACACCAAAACGGCACATAAACCTGGTTCGTTCACCGACTTCTTCTTGACGGGTCCTAATGGCATCTTCACTGGCTTCTCAACCGAGTTTGTGTCAAGGGCATGGAATGTGGACGAAACCATTGTGAACAAGCTGGTTAATAGCCAGTCTAGCAAGGGCATTGTCAAACTTGATCCCAGTTTCAAGATGCCCGAACCCAACCCGGCCCACAGGAACGGCATGGCTTTGAACTGCGAGGAAGCTCCCTTGGACGTCGACATAAAAGACGGTGGCAAAGTTGTGGTTTTGAACACCAAGAACTTGCCTTTGGTTGGCGAGGTCGGACTGGGTGCTGATCTGGTCAGGTTGAATGGGAACTCCATGTGCTCCCCGGGCTTCTCTTGCGACTCTGCACTACAGGTGACATACATTGTCAGAGGGAGCGGACGAGCTCAGGTGGTTGGTGTCGACGGTAAGCGCGTCTTGGAAACCACAGTCAAGGCGGGGCACCTTTTCATTGTTCCAAGGTTCTTTGTCGTCTCTAAGATTTCGGATCCAGTTGGGTTGGAGTGGTTCTCCATCATCACTACCCCTAAGTAAGTGTTTGTTGTTTAAATATGAAATATCCGCGACTCGTTTTAACCGATCATTATCACTATTTAGAGACATTGAAAAATGAATGAATGTAGACACACTGCATGTCTACATTCAATCATTTTTCAACGTATCAAGAAAATCATAATGGACGGTTAAATATGGAATGGAGGGAATATATCAATACGAACAATTTGTGTTGTTATTTGCAGTCCGGTTTTCACTCATTTGGCGGGGAGGACGTCGGTGTGGAAGGCGTTGTCGCCTCAAGTGCTTCAGGCTGCTTTCAATGTTCCTGAAGATGTGGAGAAGGAGTTCAGCTCGAAGAGGACTGCTGAGGAGATTTTCTTCCCACCACCAAACTGATTGGTTGATTGCTCTGTGATTTTGGATCCTAATATTTTCTTTTACTTGCCTTAGCAAATTTAGCAATAATAATGATATAGTTAGCTTGTTGGATTTTATCTGCTGGTTTTTTTCTAGAGTTTGGGAGCATGGAAGAAAAATAAATTGTTCCCTGGCAAAATTCTTGTTCATGTCTTTTGGTTATTCCATGTCTTTGGCAAAAGCTGTTCTTCTGGTCTCAAAGATCAATCTTTTATCCAAGTAGAACTCAATTTTATGATCATCTCCAACTTCTATAAATGTCAATACTAAATTACATAGATTGAGTTTGAACAGATGTTTATTTCCTCTGTATTTTTCTTTATCCGTCTTCCAAACGGGCCCTTGAACAAATTAACTCCAAAACTGCTTAAAAAAGAATTGGGCCTTTGCCTTTTTCAAAAAAGAAAAAAATCTATGGCGGTCGTAAAAATTTCTGTATGTGAGAGGGTTCAATTAAGCAGTGTTTCCTTCCACTTACTTTTTTGCTTATTAGTTATTTTTATTATAATCAAATTAGATCAGAAATAGTTTTAATTATAACTGCAATTTAGATCAGATCAGATCAGAACTTCAAAAACGTAGCCTTAGAAAGATTTGGGGCGGAAACTAATACGGAGTCATAAGTAAAATCTTTCACCAAGTTTTTAAATACCCCATTGGGTCAACCCAACCCAACCCGATCCAAAAATATAATTGATGTTTGATTATTTTTGGGTTCGGGTAGGAAAAACATGTTTAAACTCTGTTATATTTGGGTCGAGTTTCGGATAAAAACAGGACGGATCAAATTTTGGGGATTATACACAACTGAATTTCTCAACGCCAAATCACTAATTTGATGAGAAGGTTGAAATTTGATTCTCCAGGTTTCTCCAATTTGGTTCTCATTTGTTGCAAGTTGCTATATTAACATCGCGCCACCGACTATATATCAGTTTGGAAACAAACGTAACTAGAGTTAGAGATTAAAATAAAGTACTAATGGTAAAGATTGACATTTACACTATGTTTGGTTCAAAAAATTTGAAAAAAAAATAGAAAATAAAATGAAAAGTAAATTTTCTTGTTTGGTTAGAGAGGAAAAAGAAAGAAAAGTAGAAGAAAAAAAGAGAATGCAAAATGTACAAAGACAAAAGAAAACAAAATTTCTCCCATTTTGATGTGGAAAATAAGAGAAAATCTTTTTTTTTTCTTCAGAATTTCTTGAACAAAACATTGGGTTAACAATGACAACCCAATTGAATCCCATTAAAATAGGGTATGGGGAAGTGTGTGTAGTGTATATGCAAACGTTACCCATACTCGAAAGTAGAGGAGTTTCCAAAAGAGACCCCAGTTCACAAGCACCACACAAAATAACATACATAGCCTAACCCCGATATTTAAAATACTAGGTTATTTTCAAATGACCCATGAGGAGCACCGAAAGTTGCATTGACTAATCGCTGTTTCATTAATATAAAAAAAGTCCAAACAACTTCAAGAGTCATTTTGCTTTACTCCACCAAAAAGCCAAAAAATATAGTGAATCATTGGATAGATGATTCAACCGGAGAGGATGGAAAACCAAAGGTTATCATTGGATAGATTTTTCATAATACTAAAGCAAAACTAATGTCAGAGAAACTACATTATTGCTTCCATGGCGTTTTGCTAGTCTACTCCACACAAAGCTTTCCATTACAACTTTCAATGAACCAATGAGCACTATAAGAGAACATTCATTTTAAAGATACAATAATCTCGTTAACAGTACAATCACATTAATAAGTTGGCAATGTGAAAACAATTGACCATTTCTAATAAAAAGTATTTCTTTTGCAGGCTGTTATATTTTATCAAGCAGAAAAGCTGCTTCAAGGAACTAACAAGAATTATGATTGCAAGCCTAGCAACAAGAATGTATTTCAATGCAAATGTTACAACGAATTCCAAAAGACGGGGGAAAACGAACGAAGGGGGGGTGGTGTTTGGCCATCTGGTCCTACTTACATTGTGTGCTAACCGCGAAAAAATAGTTGCGGAAGACATGAGAGAAGTGCAGAACCCCTGGCAATCTCATCACAGTAAAATGTGCATCAGTCCATGTCAAGGAATTCCATTCTCTTCCGAATAGTGCCTTTTAGATCTGCTGCCTCATTTTCTGCCTTTTGTGCCTGGGAAAAAAGTATATCATTTTTTAGCAAGAACACGATACTAAAAGATTGTAAATCAAAATATAATACTTTGAACTTTGGACACTATTACACATTTTTGAGATGTTGGTAGTATAATTTGCATCTACACAAAAGTAAAAAAATATATGCAGTATTAAAGAACCAAGTAATGTTTTAACATTTTAAGGAGTTATTTTACTTTATTAGGAGTAGTACAGAGTATAAGTATTAATCATGTAAGTGGTTGCAGATAAGTATGCGGTATACCTACTCCTTGATAATTGAGTAATATATCTAATTTGTTAAAATCATTGTAGGGACATTACTATAATTAGAGAAAACAACTAAAGACACCAATGCTCAAACCCACAAAGACTTGGGATGATCCCTATATAATTGAGAGATTGATGAATATAAATATTGATTACCAAAGGCAATGTGAGAGAGAAAGATGACGTTCATTTGTGCGTTTAGACTCTCCCCGAAGCCCACACGCCCGCCCCTCCCCCTCTCTCAGGAATGTGGGGTGGGATGGTAGATGGGGTGGGGTGGTGAAGTTACACAATAACATGCATCTCTTAGACAACAAATCATGTTTGGTGGATGGTTGCTTTCAAAGATTAAAGTTTGACATTAACATAGTTTTCCAGCTTATGTTATGTTCTATGATAAGGCACAAGACCTGCTTATAACCCTAACCCAATCAAATAGAGAAACTAACTACAGTTAATGAGCTGTTTCATTGTACTGCGGGATTTGTCCAGTGAGACAATACGTTTAGTAAAATAGTACTAAAAGAATTTTAAATACCAGATAATAAAACACGGGTTGGTCAAGTTTTGTGTCACTAAGTTCATGGGTTAATTAAGGGATTTGGCAGTATGGTACCCTTTTTATCTCTGCAACTGAAACACAGACCATATGTGGTGGAAGTTCATCCTTATCCAAATCCTGAAGAAACACATAAAAGCTTTATTTAAAAAATCTGCATAAACATATGAAATGAAGAATTAAGTAGAACCAAATGCAAGAAAAAAGAGCAATTTACCAGCTCCCCAATCACGACCACGTTTTCTCCACGAATTACATACAAACCCAATGGTATGTCACAATAGAGATTTCCAACAATAAGCCGTTCACATGCTCCTTCAAGAACAGCATTGGCTGAAATGTGCAGGAAAACAACATGAATTGGCTATGTATGTATACCAACAGTCAGAATCATGAAAGTGGAGCAAACATACCAAATTGGTCAAAAGAGCGAAGTATCCCCAAAAGCTTTCGACCATCTCGCAGCAAAACAAGAATTTTCTCTGCCGAAGGCAAAAAAATAAGACAGTCAAGATAACCTCGACAGGATACAAGCAAATTCTAGTGAAAACAATGGCCTTTTTAAGTTTAACAAGTCCCATAGCTCTTAATCTACCGCACCAGATGAAAAAAGCCATAATAACAAGTCCAAAAGAAACACTGATCGGCCCGTGATAAAAAAAATTACTGAAAAATACTGTGTACATGAGATATATCTTCAACAATTACAACAATCAATGCTTAAGTAGTCTTCACATAAAAAAACTCCACAAAAGGCATCAATCAGGCAATATCACAATTCACACAGTCACAAACCCAAAATTAAAAAGCAGGAGGCTAAAACATCAATTCACACTAACATTCTAAACAAATTCAAGTACGCGATAGAAAGCAAAGGCAAAAGAAAGAAAAAGGGGAAACTGACTGTCAAGATAATTGGCAAGAGAGGTAGAAAGATAGATATCCTCTGCACTAGCCCAAGACATTAATGAAGACGGAGGAGATCAGGATTAAGTCAGCTCTGCCGGGATCGGAAAGTTCGCCGGAAAGTTCACCAAACAATTCTTGACTCTTAAAACCCTAACGAGAAAAGGATTGTGCGAAGAAAAGGTTATTGACAGTTTTAATTTATTTTTATTTTTTATTCATTTTTGCTTCGTTTCAGATCTGAGGAAAATCGTAATTTACCACAGAAACGGAAATCTGGTGAGAAATACGAACACTATATGCCTCAAATTATATTATGGAGCACTACTGGGTTGCACGTTTCCATTTATATTATTAAATTATATTCAGATCATTATTGAAGAATATAATTTACTACCTCCGTCCTATTGTCTTTGTCCACATTTGACTTTTGGAACTGTTCATCTAAGCACTTTGACTCATCAAATTCTCTTAATGTGTAAGCCTAAAAATAGTCATGTGTGATCTTGTTTGATTCGTTTTAACATATAGATTATTAATATATAATTTGTATAATTTTTTAATATACAAATTACTAGATAAAATGGATTTAAAAAGTGCATTCGATGGTGTGCCAAAAGGTAAGTGGACAAACACAGTGGGACGAAGGGAGTAATATATAATAGAATATAAAGTTCAGTAAAGGATTGAATATGAAAATTTTATCTCTATCACAGTGGAATATGTAATACTAATATTGATACAAATTACATTTATTTTACAATCTCATAATAAATGTGAAACTTATTTTTTACTTATTGAACATCTTTTGAAAGAGTTTAAATTTTTAAATGGATGAGATATTGCCCATTATTAAATTTTATTTTGTTTGTCCTTGCAAAACAATCGTTACTCAAGACTATTTGAATTCTTACCATTTATATATAAGTATTTTTTTAATTTTTCATTCTAGTTTATTTCATCAATTAATCTATTTTCATTTAAAAATATGTACTAAAATATACTATGCTGAATATTTATTTCTTGCCATTTTTAGATAAGTGTTTTTATAATAAAATATATATTTCATCCGTTGATTTATTTCCATTTATACTAAAATTTATACTAAAATATACTATGTTGAATATTTACTTCTTTCCATTTTTAGATGATATTTTTATACTAATAATTAATTTTTACTCATTGATTTATTTACATTTATATTAAAATTAACTATGTTGAATATTTATTTATAAATATTTTCCAAAAATAAACCCTATTGTAAGGCTATTTACTAAACTATTTATAAAAATATATACTAAAGAAAAGACGTCTCAAAGTGAGATAAGAATGTCATTTTTCAAAAAAAAAGACACTGGCGGTAAAAGTTAGAGAAAAAAGCCAATAAGCACCTGCACAACGAAATACCCCCATAATAAGCTCATTATATAATAAAAAGTTTATATATAACAAATTTTTCTAAGATAAATCTAGACCTCTCACTATATAATAAAAAGGATATATATAATGAAAAATAAAAATACAAATAATATTATTCATTTCCCTTCTAGAATCTGTGACCGTGACTAATAAAAATATTTATATTTATTTATTAATTAAAATTCATATATAACAAATTTTTCTATAATAAATCTAAACCATCCCTAGAAACTTTGACGGGGATTAATAAAAGTATTTATATTTATTTAATTATAAAAGTCTATATACAACAAATTTTCTTAAAATAAATATAGACAATAGCTAAAAGCTTTGATCATTATAAATAAAAATATTTATATTTATTTATTTATCTATTAAAGTCCACATGTAACAAATTTTTTCTAAAATAAATTTAGACCAGTCGCTGCAATTAAATGATGATGGTGTTAATCTCAATATATAATAAGCTCTTTATATTAGAAAAAATCCATATATAACAAATTTTCCTAAGATAAATCTAGACCTCTCCATATATAATAAAAAGCATATCTATGATGAAAAAAAATACAAACAATATTATGCATTTCCCTCCTACAACCTTTGACCGTGATTGATAAAAATATTTATATTTATTAATTTATTTATTAAAATTCATATATAACAACTTTTCCTAAAATAAATCTAGTCATCCTAGAAAACTTTGACGTTGACTAATAAAAATATTTATATTTATTTATTAAATCCCATATATAATAAACTTTCCTAAAATATATCTAGATGCATGCCTATAAATTTCGACCGCGATTAATAATAATATTTATATGTTTTTATTAATTAAATTATAAAGTCCACATATAACAAATTTTCCTAAAATAAGTCTAGACCTCTCCATATATAATAAAAAGTTTTAACACGTCTTTATTAAAGTCCATATATAAAAAATTTTCCTAAAATAAATCTAGACCAACCCCTAGAAACTTTGAAAATGATTAATATATAGAAAATATTTATATTTATTTATTAAAGCCCATATATATAAAAAACTTCCAAAAATAAATCTAGACCACCCCTAGAAATTTGACCATGATAAATAATAATATTTATGTTTATATTTATTTATTTATTAAATTCCATATAAAACATTATATTCTTCCCTAAAATATATCTAAACCTCTCTTTATATAATAAAAAGTCAACACATCCATTGGCGGGAAAACTGGTCAAAGAATTCACCTCTTTTTAAATAAAGTATAGATGCTACATGTACCTTAAAATTTGTACCCTATTTGTATATCAAAGGTATGCAACAACATTTTGATGGTTCACATTGACACAAAGTGTAAGTGCATTAACAATAATTTACACTGACACAACGTGTTGTTGCGTTAACAAAAATTAGCATTACACCAACACAAAATGTTGGTGCATCCCTGCGGTGTACAAAATGTGGTACAAATTCTTGAGGTACAAATAACGTTATCCTCATATTATACATCCATTTGTACCCAATTTTGGGTACAATCAAAAAATTATTTATGGTATGAATTTTATTTTACATGAGAATGAACATTAAGTTATTTGAGAATGATTACAGTCTTGTTTCAGAATGAACACTACATTATTTATAGATGAATATTATAATTATATTGAACTAATGTGTAAAAATGAGTACTACATTATTTTAGAATGAGTACCACGCTAATTATATTTCTGCGAGAATGAGTATTACCCGGATGTACCGTATATCCGGTTGTATCATATACCTTCTCATTATATGTGGCCTTACCTTAAATCGGACTATCGGATTCGGAGCACCTAAATTTGGATAGATGTAGCCATGTAGGAAATGGAAAAATACCCATTTTTTGAGGTCAAATTTTTTAAGTGGTCTTAAAGTCTCATTTTATAGATCTTAATACATTCATATCATAAAAGAATTAAGTTTTTTTTAAAAAAATGTTCCATTTATCAAGCAATGAAAATAGTGAGAAAGTCCATATTTTACATGCATGTGGATCTTAAGATCAATGAAGAACAACTCATTTCTCAAATATTTAGCATCAATTTTAGAGTTATCGATTATTTTATCTAATTAGATATATTTAGATCGAACGAAAACTTTAATCGACATTGTAGACGAGTAGGATGGTGCGAAGTGCTCGCTCGTCCAACAATATTATAAATTTTGTAGCGAGTCCGGGGGCAGCAGCCACAGACGGGGTCCAAGGGGAAGACCCCCGACCCTAGGTTGGGGTCTAGATCAGCTTAGGAAAAAAAATTGACTTTATAACTTATAAAAATCCTTTGTATTTTCACAAACAGAGTTAAAATAAGAGTAAACTCTCTAAATAATCCTTTATAACTGGGGGTATTCATTTTTAGTCCATATTTATAAAATATTATATTCATAGTCCTTATTAATTAGGTAACATTTCATGTTTGGCCCACTGTCTATTTTTTCGTCTCAATAGCCGAGGGGATTAGAGTGACTTTACCACTTGCAGCATCGCTATCAACAGTAGATGTTTTTGGGACTTTTGATCCCAGGGCTTTGGTTCAACACGATGGAAATGGACCCTCAAGCAATGGAACTCATTAGTTGGGCAAAGTTCCTATCATGAGCATTCTTACTTCTATTCTCATCAAAGTAGTAAAACCCTACAACCACAATTAGCTCTTTAGTGTGCATGGAGGGATGCAAAACGGGCTCACTAGCCTTTAATTTTTGGAAAATGTCATTCCTACCTTTCTGGGCCTTGAGGGGGTTCTCCCTAGTTCCCTTAGGGGGAAATTAGTTGGAAACCCTAGCTTCGTCTTCTTTGGGAAGACAATCAAGAAATACTTCTTGTCTCATTTTTCTATATTCATGGGGACATTCTCGAAGAGTGGTTGTTTATAACTTGTAAAGAGGCTCATGCATGAACCTCCGCCCAGACTGTACAAATATTCAATGTTGATGCAGGTAGCAAGCTCCAAGGAGGCATCCTCCAGTTGTGGAAACGTTCTATCAAGAGGGAGTAAATGGTTCTTTGAACCCGCTTTCATAGATTTGTAGTGCATAATCAAATACCTATGGGGTATAGGTTTTTCCTGAGAGAGAAGTTTTCTACATGACAAACCTCAACATCTTTTCCCAAAACCTTTTGCATTTTGTCAAGTTCATGCCTCTTAATAGTGGCGGGTTACGCGTTCCACCTTTGAAGGTCGAACTTTGACATCAATAGGATTCCGGTCTTCGATCGGTAAAGAGAGGAAAATACTTGGTTACAGATCAAGGGCGAAGATATGGAGTGAAAGCATTTGAAGGTTCCTAACCTAAGGAAATTGAAAAAGAAGCATAAAGAGGGTTGGAGGAGGCGCGACGCGTAATGATGGATATGCGGATATGTCACTAATGATTTCGTGTGTGTGGATTTCAAACAAGTATAAAGTTATAGTGCCAAGATAAACAATATATTAATGACATGTCGCATAAGAAACTATGGACTTATTGTAACACCATAATCCGTCCAGGTCTGCAGCCCCTTTCGGACTAAAGTATTAACTTGGTAATCGTAAAAATTTAAAACATTTTAACATCTTTATTTATCATAAAATAATATTCCATACATAATAGTAATAAATTACAGAGTTTTTAACCATAATGCGGAAGCAATTTAAATCATGTCTCATAACAATTTAATTTAATCATTTTAAATCATAAATCCACCACGATCGCCTCGCCCCTTCTGCTGCCAGGAACATGTCAATTACTCGTTCTGCCTACCTGCGTGTAGCAAATAAAACACACTACACGCTCAGCGGTAAAGCTGAGTAAGCATATCTAAAGCGTCGAACATCCACATAAATTGAATCTCAATTCACAAAAACCCATTTGATATCATGCACACAATATA